GCTACGGGACCTGAACCTGTTCAGCCTCCACAAGAGAAGGTTGAGGGGGGATCTAGTGACCTGTTACAAACTAGTCAGAGGGGACCAGCAGGCATTGGGGGAGTCCCTGTTCCCCCAAGCACTACCAGGAGTGACTAGAAATAATGGTCACAAGCTGGCAGAAGGTAAATTCAGATTAGACATCAGGAGGCGCTACTTCACTGTCCAAGCGAAGTGGTGTTGGCTCCTTCCCTGGGGGTCTTTAAGACAAGGCTAGACAGTCACCTTGCTGGGGTCATTTGACCCCAGTACTCTTTCCTGCCATGGCAAGGGGTCGGACTTGATAATCTGCTCAGGTCCCTTCTGACCCTAATAACTATGAAACTATGCCTATTAGCACACGCCAGCCGCCTCCGCATTCTATGTATTCAGCATCCCTATGCTTCAGAATCGTGTTGGGTTACTTTAACTAAAGCTCATTTGATGAAAAATCATCAAAGACACTATTCTTGACAAACTGGCAGAAGGCAACTTCCTGAGGCATAGTCAGCACGGGTTTGTTGCGGGTAGGTCTTGCCTGACCAGTCTCATCTCCTTCTACAACCAGGTGGTTTATCACCTGGACAAGGGTGAAGAGATTGATGTCATATATCTTGACTTTAAAAAAGCTTTTGATTTGGTATCCCACGATTATCTCATAGAAAAACCAGCCAACTGCAGCCTTGGCTACATCACAGTCCCCTGCCTGGGGAACTGACTCTGAGGTTGGACCCAGAGAGTAGTAATTGACGGAAGTCAATCATTGTGGTGCACCGTGATCAGTGGGGTCCCCCAAGGCTCTGTCCTCGGGCCTGTTCTTTTCAACATCTTCATTAATGATGTGGACATTGGTATCAGAAGCGGACTGGCCAAGTTTGCTGATGACACTAAACTTTGGAGTAAAGCATCCACACCCTAGGACAAGATGGAGATCCAGGCTGACCTTGACAGGCTCAGAAAATGGGCGAACGAAAACCTGATGGCCTTCAACACCAAAAAATGCAAGGTTCTCCACCTAGGGAAGAAAAACCCACAGCATGCTTATAGGCTCGGAAGTACTAAGCTTGCTAGCACCATGGCCGAAAGGGACTTGCGGGTCATGATTGACCACAAGATGAACATGAGCCACCAATATGATGTTGCAGCTGGCAAAGCAAGCAAAACTCTGACTTGCATCCATAGATGCTTCTCTAGCAAATCCCAGGATGTCATCCTCCTGCTGTACTCAGCCTTGGTGAGGCCACAGCTGGAGTACTGCATCCAATTCTGGGCTCCACAATTTAAAAAGGACGTGAAGAAGCTTGAGAGAATCCAGAGGAGAGCCATGCGCATGATCAGAAGGCAGGAAAACATGCCTTATGATGAGAGGCTGAGAGCCATGGGACTGTTCAGCCGGGAAAAGCACAGGCTCAGGGGGGACCCTGGTGGCTGCTTATAAGTATATAAGGGGTGTACATCAGGATCTGGAGGAACCCCTCTTCACCAGAGCACCCCATGGGATGACAAGGTCAAATGGTCACAAACTCCTCCAAGACCGTTTCAGGCTGGACATAAGGAAGAACTTCATTACTGTCTGAGCCCCCAAGGTATGGAA